ATGGCTGGACTGACAAGACACATGGCAAAGATTCATAGAGATAGCTTTAAATACAAGATTATAGCATAGCTCTGTAACAAACCTTCCCATCGACAGTTGATTTCTTCATCATTCCTTCAGTAAAGATTGTATATTTATCAAATCTCTGATTTTTTAAATTGTCAACAAAATACATTGTCTCCCCTTTTCTCAGAAGTTGAGTTTGTTCTGTATTTGAATTAAAATCTGATTGACACAGAACACGCTATTACTATATACATAATTGGTATTAAATGATTGGATCATTTTAATGAAAATATGAATAAGGGAGTCCTATACTCTTAATGGACCTAAACAATGCCACATAATAAAAATAAATAATGAGGCGGGGATGGCTGCATCCCCCTTCAATTTGGACCAAAATTTATTTTGCCCTGTTAAAATTCAAGAGTAGCAGATCCAATGCCCTGAGAGAATGAGGCACTATTCACCCAGGAAATGAATTTATTGATGAAAATTCCTTACAAGAAGAAGAAGGAGACAGTAAGAGAGAGAGAGAGAGGGGGGGTCTTTTTCTTTTCTTTACCCCCCCCCCCCCCCATCCTTATGCGGAATGTTACTACGTCAGATCTGAACAGTCCTTAACCGGTGATCAAACTTACCTTCACATTGTCTTCCGCTATCTGGTGCAGGAGTGGTGTCTATGAACCCCTCTTGACATGCACATGAAAAACTACCCTGGGTGTTAGTGCACTCTGCATACGAGCTACAGTCGTTCAATGTGCTATTGGAGCACTCGTCAAAATCTGGAGGAAAAAAAGGCATAATTGTTATTTTAACAAACGTAATTGAGAAATTTCTAGAAACTTTAGGTAATTCATTGCTCGGCAGTCTTGACCGTATTTGAAACAGAGCATCCAGTATACCTGATATTTAATAAAATACTGTCAATTAAAACAAATAACTAAATAAACAAACAATTAATGAACCTCTTTACCCAAGACTGTGGGTCTTTATTGTTGACCACTAAATGATTCTGCTCGGTCATACAGGCTAGGTGGGGGATGCTTTCAATAGACTTAAATTTGAAAGGCCCTTTGTATCACCTCAAGCAAGAATTTATAGGGCGCTTCTATTAGATTTATAGAAGTAAAAGTTGTTTCCAGACTGAAAAGGGCTAGTACGGGACAGTAGAGAGTGAATAAAACTAGGAAGAAAATAATTGAGAATGTAAAAAAACGTTGTAAACCTGGCAATAAGAGGTTCTTGAATCCAGTTTTAAAAATGGACATGGCTTTGTGGCTACCCGCTATCGGCCGCCAGGCTACGCTGACGATTGCCAGCTACCCCCCCCCCCCAGGGTCCAGGGGGAGGGGGAAAAAACGTATAAAAACACGCCTTATTTTTTCTTTTTTGGAGATGGGCCCCCCCCCCTGGCTTTTCAAATTTTCGAAAGCCAAAAAAAAAATGAGTGCCCACTAATTAAGAGAATAGCAATAAATATGGACTTTGAGTGAGATGAAAATGGGTTTAACATCAGTTTTTCATTTTCAAAGATTTACAACAAAAAAGCAGTTGCTGGGTGTCGAACCCGATTCCTTCCAGTTACAGGGCGATTGCTTATCCACTAGACTAAAGTGTCACATTGCTAATTCCTGTATTTTTTCATACTTATACTAATTGTTGTAGATGTAGCAAAAGAAGAAAAAAAAAGCACTAGCTGGGGGTCGAACTCGATACCTTCCAGTTACCAGGCAATTGCCTATCCACTAGACTAAAGTGTCACATTGCTAATCTCAATGTATTTTTGTCATACTTATACTAATTGTTGTAGATGTAGCACAAAAAAAAAGAAAAGAGCTAGCTGGCAATAGGCCACTGCCCTCACATAGCATAATGAATAGAACACAGGTCTATTCAATTCAGTATATGCTACGAATTCTATAACGGGGCACCAATGAATAGGGAAGCTTGGCTATTCGACTTTGTTTTCAATAGCTTGCACCTGCAATGTTTGAATAGTTACGTAACAAACTACTCAGCTCTTTCTGACATGGCATCCATTAATGAATTGAAAGAAACCCCGAACCTCCCTTCATTGAGCGAATATTTTTGTCAAATGCGAAGATTACCAAAGAGGTAATAATAGCATTCCTGACATTGCGACAATGAACGCATTATGTTGATGTATTGTCCCTAAACCTACTGAAGAGGCTCTTTGTCTGGGAGGACAAGCTCTTTCAACATCCCCATAGAAAAAAATAGACTGGGGCTGCATGTAGTCTCATTTAAAGAAACGAAAACAATTTCGGGACAGTTCAAAATAATGTTGGGAAATGAAAATTAATTCAAATGATACCGTTTTAAAATGGTTTGAGGAAAAGAACCAGTAGGTAATTCATTGCTCGGCAGTCTTGACCGTATTTGAAACAGAGCATCCAGTATACCTGATATTTAATAGAATACTGTCAATTAAAACAAATAACTAAATAAACAAACAATTAATGGACCTCTTTACCCAAGACTGTGGGTCTTTATTGTTGACCACTAAATGATTCTGCTCGGTCACCCAGGCTAGCTGGGGGATGCTTTCAATAGACTTAAATTTGAAAGGCCCTTTGTATCACCTCAAGCAAGAATTTATAGGGCGCTTCTATTAGATTTATAGAAGTAAAAGTTGTTTCCAGACTGAAAAGGGCTAGTACGGGACAGTAGAGAGTGAATAAAACTAGGAAGAAAATAATTGAAAATGTAAAAAAACGTTGTAAACCTGGCAATAAGAGGTTCTTGAATCCAGTTTTAAAAATGGACATGGCTTTGTGATTGCCAGCTAGCTGACGATTGCCAGCTACCCCCCCCCCCCCCCCTAAGGGTCCAGGGGGAGGGGGGGGGCGGAAGTCCCGCCCCCTGGGAAAAAACGTATAAAAACACGCCTTATTTTTTCTTTTTTGGAGATCCCCCCCCCCTTGGCTTTTCAAATTTTCGAGGGCCAAACAAAAAATGAGTGCCCACTAATTAAGAGAATAGCAATAAATATGGACTTTGAGTGAGATGAAAATGGGTTTAACATCAGTTTTTCATTTTCAAAGATTTACAACAAAAAAGCAGTTGCTGGGTGTCGAACCCGATTCCTTCCAGTTACATGGCGATTGCCTATCCACTAGACTAAAGTGTCACATCGCTAATCTCAATGTATTTTTGTCATACTTGTACTCATTGTTGTATATGTAGCAAAAGAAAAAAAGCACTAGCTGGCAATAGGCCACTGCCCTTACATAGCATAATGAATAGAACACAGGTCTATTCAATTCAGTATATGCTACGAATTCTATAACAGGGCACCAATGAATAGGGAAGCTTGGCTATTCGACTTTGTTTTCAATAGCTTTCACCTGCAATGTTTGAATAGTTACGTAACAAACTACTCAGCTCTTTCTGACATGGCATCAATTAATAAATTGAAAGATAACCTGACCCTCCCTTCATTGAGCGAATATTTTTGTCAAATGCGAAGATTACCAAATGAGGTAATAAAAGCATTCCTGACATTGCGACAATGAACGCATTATGTTGATGTATTGTCCCTAAACCTACTGAAGAGGCTCTTTGTCCTTGTCTGGGAGGACAAGCCCCCCCCCCCCCTGGATCCGCCACTGATCTGTCACCACCTTAACCGACTACTGTGTCTTTTGTTCTGTATGCTTTCACACAATTGTCATGTTTATCTCGCCTGTAGTTAATTGAGTCTGACGTTTTGATTGGCATATTTTTCATCTGTTCTTCATTTCGTAAAAGGTAAAATGTTTGGTGACGGAAGGATTTATAGCCGGTAAACTCTTTTTCATCTCAACATCCTATGTATCTATATCCCATCCCCTCCCTCTCTCTTCCTTCTTCCCTCTAATTTCTGTCTGTCTCTATCTCTCTCTACTCGTCTCCTTTATATACCCCTCTCTCATTCTATTTTAAATCTCCCCACCTCCCCATACCACCTCTCCATCTTTCTCTCCCAATTCTTTTCGTTTTCTCTCTCTATTACACCCACTCTCAGTACCATCTCTCCCTTTCTCTCATTAAGTAATAGCTGAATTCATAAATGAACTTTTCTTTGTAACGATTTCTTTCCTCTCTCGAATATATCTTCATTCGCTGTAAATAATAATAATTTGATATGCTTGTCCGAACTGTCACACCTTTCGATTAATAAAACCGCCCTTTCCCCCAATTTCTTTTCTTCTCTCTTCACTAAAATATTTCTCTTCAAATCTTCATGACAAATTCTAACCATTAACTGTAACAACTCGCACGTTTACATGGTTAATAGCTGTTTATAATGCGCAATCAGTTTGATTTAAAATTGGCACTTTCCTAGCCAACGGTTCGCTTTAATGTATAACGTATTAAAGCGTATATGGCACCTTTGTTTGAATTATCGCGAGGATTCAAATCGAAAAGTCTTTTAATTGCAAGTTATTCTTGGTAAAAGGGTTTATTTGAAACGATGTAAGAACAAATGTAGTGACGTCACCAAGAATAATCATGAATGAAATATAGAATATCTTAGCCGAATGGGAGGATTGAAAGGATTGCTTTTTGTCTGTTAACCATGATAATGCATGACTTTGTATAATATCAACGGGACAGTGTTGAAAGAGCTTTGAGAAAATAGTGACTGATTTGGTACCACCCAAAATTAGCATTTTGTAAATCATTAAAGTTGTACAATTACACACACGCAGTCACTCACAACAACATTACTGTGGATCACTTTTACACTATAATCTGAAACACGTGCATCCTGATGCTAAATGAGTGCATTTCGACCAGGTAAGTCTGCTCCTGATCTATTCAGTGTAAAACAATGACACTTACAGAGAATGTGGAGAAATATACGTGAATGCTCTATAAATTGACTTCCTGATACATTGCATAGTCGTGAAAAATTATCAATGTCTGTATAACCATGACAACCATTCCGTAGTACAAAACTCACGTTGGAGCACAAACCAGACAATACCATATTTTAAGTATGATGCAAAATATAATCCTTTATTCGTAATCGGGAGGTCCCGGGTTCGATATGAAGTCGATGCACTGGTGCTCTTTGGTCACAAATACAAGCATACACATGCTTTCTTAGAAGTCAGGTAAAAATAAACCATCAACCTATATTAAAAAGACCATTTGTGGCAAATATAATTAGTGAAGACTGGTTGCCAAACAAAAATAAAAAATAACATCAACGACTTTCGTCCTTCTTAGGTTCTGTGCGAAGGCATTTTCTAAAGTTGTCCTGTATAATGTTTATCTTTATATTCCTGAAAAATTCAATCATAGACTACTGGATAACAACTTTCTTTGTTTAAAGTGATTAAAAATAAACAGCTGCATTTCAACTACTAATGAATCTGTAAGCCCGGTGCATTAACATTATACATGTACTACCAGATTATAAATATATATAACATGACTAGACATCGATCGTCATAGTTTTCATCCGATTATAAATATGTTAAATAAAAAAAGACAAAACCCTGTCTATCCCAAAAGCAAATATTCATTGCCTTACACATAATTATAGCAATATATATATATGAAATAAATGAATTAATTAATTATTCAGTGGAAGGTGATTTGATAATCAGATTACCCCCAAAATGCTAAAGTTAAATGACGCAAAATGAGTGTTATAAATAACAAAATAGCGCTACTTCTAGATAAAGAACAACAACAACGACTTATATACGTCTTAGGTGCTGTGCGAAGGCATTTTCTAAAGTTGTCCTAAAATATTATCTTTATACTTCTGAACCATTCATTTGTAGAATACTCGGTAACTACTTACTTTTTTTCAAAGTGTTTAAAAATAAACAGCTGCACTTAAATTACTAATACCACTGTAAGCCCAGTACATTAACATTATACACATACTACCAGATTATATGTAAATAACATAACTAGACATCGTCATAGTTTTCATCTGATTATAAATTTCTTAGCCAAAAAACAGACAAAACCCTGTCTCTCCCGAAAGTAAGTATTCATTGCCTTACATATAATTATAGTAACATATATATATATATATATATATATGAAAGAATAAATCGTTCAGTGGAAGCTGATTTGATAATCAGATTAATAAAAAAAAATGCAAATGCAAAATGAGCGATACAAGTAACAACATTACGCTACTTAAAGATAAAGTTCTGTTCTAGTCATGTGACTGGATTGTGAAAGAAAGTGTTTGATAGCGATTGGAAAAAAAAGTTATGCAGTTAGCATATAAGAATGTTATGCAGTTAGCATATAAGAATGGTGTTTTCTGTTAAGTTTTAGAATCATCAAAATGATAACAGATTGCCTCAGTATTGCTGAAAGTCCCAAAACTTTTGATTTTTTTGGTCAAAATTAGGTTGAATATTTAGGCATTTTAAATGGAATTTGTTTCAGGAGGCAATTTTTTCCATAGAATATTCCTACATACAGCTAATTAACAATTTCTTAATCTTTCCAAGAGTCTTCTGAAAAAGAAAAAAAAATCATTGATTTCCTGATTCCAGCGTCTGAAACTTTTCTTCAGTAGTAGAAAGGGTTCCGTTCAACACCGCGCTGTTAGACATGAAGGAGAAGAGATATTTAAGAACGAGAAGAAAAAAAGAAAAAGATGAAGATGAAGAAAAGGTGAAAGACGAAAAGAAAGAAGAACAAAAAAGATAAAGAGAACAAGAAGGAGAAAAATAAAAAATGGTTTAAGCACATTTAAGGTTTTTCAATTTTGTGCCATGATTACTTCTATGCCTAAAATTACTCTGCAAGTGGAAATATCCTCATAAATGATACAGACTTAAACACAGCCATTTAATAGGTTAGTTTGAAGTCAAAGTAATTTCTGCCATTGATTTTAAGTATTTTTATTACATTTTAAGATTCATGTATGCAAGGTACATGTAATTCAAGTTCATGTGCAAATTTGAATTCCAACTAATGAGTGTGTTTTTAAACTAAAATTCTATGCAACTCAGATAGTTTATCTTTGAAATAACCTATCCCAAGAACTTCAATGCCATAATTAGTGCATTCAGCCGAAAAACAATCTACTGTGAGTTGTTATGGCATTTTCATGACTGCTTGACAGCCGTTTCATCTGGAGAGACCCCAAACTTACAGCACAGTACACTTGAAAAGTCCTGGAATGATATCATCTAGCTAATGTAAAGTAAGTTAAACCTGCTTACGTTGATTTAGGCGCTTATTTTACACCAGTGCACCAGTCAATAGTCTACGTTGTCCCACATAGCTATCCGCCTATGACTATGCTATTGTCCAATTATTGCTTTGCATTGCACCTCGTTGAACCTTTAACATGATCGCGAAAAATTGAAAAAATCTACGCAAGGGCAAATTTCAATACCATTTTGTTATCCCCAATATGTCATGTTCAAATCCTTTATTGTAATGTTGGCACATTTACTGAGGGAGTCCACCCTGATATCAAGTTGGTTTTAAATAAAACAGAAACATGAGAGATACAAATTAGTGCAAGCGTGAGCAATATCTGATTAGAAATAGGAAAGTTTTTGATTTTTGAAGTTGACATCAGTGAAACACACCTTGGTAACACTGTGACGTATCTAGTGGGCCCCTCTCCAATCTTTAAAGTATAGAAAATGTTGTAAACTTTCACTTTCTTAGTTATTGATTACAGAATGGATTTGTTTTATACTGAGGATGAAAGAAAACATATTTTCAATAATTACATTTAGAATTTTCTTATAGGCAAATATAGATTCTTTTAATTTTTTAGTACAGGGCAAATAGTAGGGGAGCTCGCAAGACACTTCACAGAGTTGCCCATTTGTGTTTGATTGATCCCAGCTTCAAAATATATACATTTCTTACTTTGAATGGGAATGCGCTCAAACTTTCACTGACCTATTTCTCACGTTTTTCTGCTTCTATTAAAACCAACTTACTATCAGGGTGGACTACCCCTTCACTAGGTGATAGATAAGGCTATCGAAAAGGATGATTTTGTACAAAATTATTTGCGATCGTGTTACAGTTTACACGCAATTAGCCTCTACCAGATGATTTTTATGTAACAAGTCGATGGTGTTTCTAAGATACTCACATTGTCATCTCCTCCTACGACGTATGGTGTCTGGAATTGAATGTTCTGAAAAAAAGAAAATCACATGAAAACTTAGAAACGGCCAATCAAAGAAAAAGTAATGATCTTAAGCCTATTCTATTTACAGCTTAATGAACGTTATATTAACCATATTTCCCCCAAAACATTTAATTTTCTAGCCTATAATTTTATCCAAGGATTTGAATTCATTTTTGAATTCATTGTTTTTTATATCAATTTTCAGAGAGGTTTGCATGTATATGAAGGTAAATTTGAAATACAATTTTTTCTAGTACAGTACCGGTATACGTAATTTGAAAATGTGAAATAAAGTCAACATTCTGAATCCATAATATATATAACGTAGATAAACAGGGTAGAGCCTTAGCCTGGAGCGTGATATTCATGCAGCCCTATTTTGTATACCGACAAAAATAAGAAGAGTCAGAGCAACTTGCAATGAAGGAGTCAGAGACTAGGGGAAAGAGCATAGATTTTCTAAATTCGTTAATAATCCTATTTGTTGGTTACTTAATAAGGACTAAAGTGACTTGCATGTTATCGGCATTCACGGCCACAGTCATATGACTTGTCAGCCTATCTGCTGCTTTCACAATCTTTCCACCCAAACATTTAATTATTTAGTAAAATGTTATCCAAGTCACCCACAAGAAAAAAAAACACCTGCCATTTTCCTCTAAATTTAATTTTCTAGGAAAGAATTATCCAAGTAACTAACCTCTTGTCTGCGTTCACGGTCATGTGTGAGTCTTTCTACCACTCGGCTAACTGCAAATTCATGGCGATCGAGAGAATTATAGCTCCCCGAATCCTCCCATGGATCATCACCGTAGAAAAAAGGGGCAGGGGTTTGCCTGCTGTATGGACCATGGTACGCCTCTCTGTGAAAGGATAACAAATTGCAATAATGATAATAAAAAATAAAAATAGTAATAATAATAATAAAACTAATACTAATAATGAGAATAAAAATAATTATAATAATGATAAAACTAATACTAATAATGATGATAATAATAATAATAATAATGATAATGATAATAATATTAGATTTGTCATTTTTGGCCATTCTGAAAATAGAAAGACAAAAAAAAAAAAAATGTTATATAAATTTCCCCTAGTCCATCCCCAAGTGTGCAGGCACAGTCATAATAATAATAATAATAATAATAATAACTTTTTCTTATATAGCGCTTTTCATAAGACATTTATATCAAAGCGCTTTATAATATTGATACAATTAAAACTAGACAGAGTAATGTCAAGAGAACAAATATGAAGTGAAATTATGAAACATAAGATAACAAGGTAAGGTAACACTTTAAGAACTAGGTAACAATTTAAAAACTAGGTTGAATATGCATTTTCCATTAGGTAGGTTTTTAATTTTGATCTAAACAGAGTAATATCAGAGATGCAACGAATGGAGGCTGGAAGAGAATTCCACAAACGTGGAGCAGAGCATGAAAAGGACCTATCACCAAAGTATTTTGTTTTTGCTTTTTTAACGGTCAAGAGAGTTTGATTTCCAGAACGAAGGGGCCTATTGGGTGTGTATAATTGAATCAGTTCAGAAAGATAATTTAGGGCATGACCATGTAGAGACTTGAGGGTTAAAAGAAGAGCTTTGAACTGGACGCGAAATTGAATGGGGAGCCAATGCAATTGTTTGTTTGTTTTATTTCCGTATAAAAGACATCATGCATTCAGTAATATAATAACAAATAGAATAATGAATAACAAGATAAAATAAACGGCTGGATAGCCCATATGCCCATATGTTTAAGGGTTGGTGTAATATGGTCATGTTTTTTTGGTGAGAGAAACTAGACGTGCTGCAGAGTTTTGGATTCTTTGGAGCTTGGCCATATCTTTTTCCGGAATTCCATGGAGCAGGCTATTACAACTGTCAAGGAGTGAACTGATAAATGCGTGGACGAGGATTTCAGTGGATGACTTGGAGAGGAATTTACGAATTTTATCAATTTTTCTCAGGGCGAAGGATGCTTTACGACAGATACTATTGACATGGGGGCGCATTGAAAGGTTTTGATCAAACTTAACACCTAAGTTAACAACTGTTTTGGAGGAATTTACAACACCATTTGTTATTTGAATCGGAGGGAGTTCTATTGTATTTCTTCTTCGGTGAGAAAACAGGTGTAGCACTTCCATCTTGTTGTCGTTCAAGAGCAGAAATTTTTCAGTCAACCAGGAGCGAATGGCATGTAGAAAATTTTCCAGCTTCGGTAACATTTGAAGAATTTGCCCAGACTTAACAGTAATATATAGTTGGGTGTCGTCGGCATATATCATTGAGGAGAAACCGTGGGAATGAATGATGTCCTCTAAGGGTGACAACCCCTTGTCAACCGCTGTGCGTTACAGTGTCTGCACTGTCAGACTAGGCTGACGGCATACTGCGTAGATTCCGTACTTTAGCTGCTCCAGATCTTATTTGACAGAGTCAGAGACTAACGGAGCTAGGCTCTACGCAAGGCTCTAAGAATTGTGGTAAAGTATCACTGTGCCTGCACTGTCAGACTAGGTCGACGTCATACAGCATAGACTCCGTACTTTAGCTGCTCGGGATTGTATTTGACAGAGTCAGAGACTGGCGGAGCTAGGCTCTACTCAAGGCTCTAAGAACTGTGGTAAAGTATCACTGTGCCTGCACTGTCAGACTAGGTTGACGTCATACTGCATAGACTCCGTACTTTAACTGCTCAGGATTGTATTTGACAGAGTCAGAGACTGGCGGAGCTAGGCTCTACTCAAGGCTCTACGCACTGCGGTAAAGTATCACTGTGCCTGCAGTCCCCCACCCCCTGGATTCACAGTGGTAATTGGCTTACCCTACAGCAAACTTAGCTGCGTTCCTCCGCGATGCCTGTATCAAGAAACCACACGTGAAGACGATGATGACAAGAAGACCTGCTAACACACCTAGCACGATAGCGATAATCGCTCCATTAGACAGTCCTCGTGGCTCTGCAGCATGAGATGAAGAAATGAATAAAACTAGTTGGTGTTAATGTTTATCTTTAGATAAATTTATGAATTGTGAGTTTAAAATATCATCTTTGGATGAATTTGTCACTTCTACATGCTTTTTATGGATGAATTTGTTAGTCTTAAATCTTAATTTGAGATGAATTTATGCCCATTTTTTCATAAGATTTCTGAACAATAAAATTTTGTTTGGAAGGTTTTTTTTTACATATTTACATAGTAAACAAACAAATAAAATGGGATAGTTTCAAATTTAAATTTTTAGATGAATTTATGACCATTTTGATCAGATTTCTACACAATAAAATTAATTGTTCACGAATCAGGTGCATGGTAAATAAATAAATGAATTAATTGGAATATACAGTTTCAAAAGAGATAAATTTATGCCTATTTTGTAAAGAGTTGTTAGTTTTATTTGTATTTTAATACACAGGTTTCAATAGGATGTCCATAAATTTGTACTTAGGACAGTTTCCCTAAACGCTGCCCTATCAATAATAAGATACAATAATTGTTATAAGCTACTGAAATCCCAATGTTTGATTGGCTAAGAGCAAAATTGTCATAGAACTGAAGAATATGTTATTGATAACAATTACTAATGCTACTACTATTACTCTACTGCTACTACTAATACTACTACTGCTACTACTACATCTACTATCAATGCTACTATTACCACTTCTAACTCACTACTACTGCTACTGCTAAGACTACTACCACTACTGTTACTGTTACTAATTCTATACCAATACTACTATACTACTATTACTACTACTATATTATACTACTATTGCACTATACTATTACTACTCCTACTATACTACTACTACTAGACTACTACTGCTGCCTACTACTATCACTTTTCTCATCACCCACCTCAACTACTCCTACTGCTACTTGTACTACTACTTCTGTTTATTCTTCTTCTACTACTACTACTACTACTACCAGTTGGACTAGTAATATTGCTACTACTTCTAATACTACTACTACTGCTATGGAATGAACCCTAACATGACTCATAGAATAGTGAAAAGATGGATGTAAAAAAGAAAATAGAAGAAGAAGAAAAAGTTTAAAAAGAGGAATTGAAAAAGAGAGGATGAAATTAAGAAAAGGTAGCACAGGAAGAAGAAGGAAAATGAGGAGAAGAAGAAAAATGAGAAGGAGAAGAAGAAAATGAAGAATATGATGAAGAAGAAGAAAAATAAAAAGAAGAAAAATAGGAAGAAGAAAGCAACAACAAAAAGATGTAGAGTGCCTACCTGTTGTTGTCTCTGTTTGCATTGTAGTAGGCTCAGGAGCTGTTGAATGAAAAGAAAAAAAGGAGAAATACAATGTTTAGCATCCCCTAAGAAGCCAAGGTTCAGATAAGCTTATATATACATAAAGTTTGCTTTTTCCTTCCCTGACACAGGTGAAAAATACTTACAACACAAATAATAATAATAATAACTACTAAATAAATTTTGGCTCAAACTGGGCATTGAAATTGTCATAAGTAAAAGGTCAATGGAATCCCATTGAAACGTAACATGTGTATCTAATATCAACAGGCATTTCAATAGGATGTCGGCGAACTTGTTCTTAATTATGACGGTTTCGTGACACAATGCCCTGGCTGTTAAAGGTTCGTTCAGATATGAAGAGGTAAACCGTGGCAGTGTCTCTCAATACCATGTAAATGAATGGCAACTGCGCCCATATAGAAAGGGTAACTCCCCCAACACCATAAAGTGATGAAAAGGTACAATTCGATCTTACCATTTGAGTTGATGGCGGTTGGGAAGTATATTTCATTGTTGACTATAATGTTTCCTATATCCACCGCGGTAACGCTTCCGACATTATCCATGATGTTCTGTGCCTGGGAGGCGTCGTTAGCAGGGAAGGTCAAGTTAACATCTGCCACTACACTGCCGTTTCTGAACCGTATTACTTCGCATCTGATATCGTCACTCGTCAGCCTCCTGAAATACTCGGTCAACTGTTTAGAGAAAAGAAGAAGAAAAAACGAAAGCCATACCATAGTCAGTTAGTCACTAGCGTTTGCATTACCGATATCTCAGCAAAAAAAAAAGAAAAAAAGTATCATATTTGTTTTTACATGTATTTACTACACAGGTTGAGCTATCTTTGTCAGGGAGGAAAATCAGCTAGTTGTTTTGTTTCAATACCCTGGTTACCTAACAAGTTTTCATTTGGTCTACATGCAATTCGTCTGTAATAATAATTTTGTCAAATTATCATTTGTTCTATTGACAATTTAGGCTAATAATCATCTAGTCTAATTAGGTGATCTGTCGATATCGACAGATCACCTATTGATTTTGTTAGAATTTTCTTTATTCTTTATTTATTTTTATTTCTTCCGTACACTTTTTTGTGCACACGTTTACTCGAAATCGACATGGTCAATTTCCTTTGAATTTCTGTCAGTCATCAGGCCTTATAATTTCAAGTCTATTCAACTTTTTCAAGGTCATGGGGTCATCGTGACGTCATCCAGGCGCCATTTTGTAAAAATCAGGTCATTATCATATCTCAATAACGAGTAATAAAAAATGAACCATATTTAGTGTACACCAAAGGTCAACTAAAAATGTCAACAAAATCCGTGCGCGCACCTCGACGCGCACATACGCGCGCATCAACATTTTAAAATGCTCAAATTCGTTCCAAATTTGAGAATTCCATTTTCCGTTTACTTGTAATCTCTAAGGGAAATGTTTTGGTATATCGGTAACGCACTTGACTTCCGACCTCGAGGTCCCTGGTTCGAGTCCGGGCGTCTCCAACAATTTTTTTTCTTCACTTTTTTGCTTTTTGAACTTTCACTGTACCATCTCCTCTGAATATTAAAACACGTACAATCGCAAATAATGTAATAAACAAACATATTTACTTTATTATTACCCTATTATCACTTGATCCATTACTTTTTGCGTGTATCCTTATGGGAGATGACTTTTTCTCAAATCTGGATTCTACATTCTTGTCTTTTGCGAGCAATATCGGCGTTATTTCGCCTTGATTTTTGTTGATTTTTGACTATGTTGTAGCTGAGACTATATACTATCTAAATGTTCTCTCATTTTTTTCAGTCTGATGTCATCATGGTCTGTTGATGATAATCATCAACATCATCATGATCATGATCATCATCATCATCGTCATCACCATTACTATCAAGATCATCATCATCATGATCATCATCATGATAATCATTGTTTACATGTCTATATAACTTCTCCCTTTCTCAATATAGTTAATATTATAATCTATCATAAGACTTGAAGACAGACCACCTTATTCGTCCTCGTGACGAATTAAATTCTAGTTTTAATTTGGTTTTATGTTCCTTTTGTTTCATAACCGGTATTAAGTCTAGTTCCTAGTTTGTCTAATGCCCGGCTTATCTATCGTCTATGAGGTATACTAATCATTTTATGATAATCATTATTCATGATTGAACGGAGTATGCAGCAAGGTGCCATAGGCACATTTCTCAAGTATGACTATGGTAGCAAAATACCAAATCGTGCCAAAGTTAACATTGCCCTTAAAAAAGTGCCGTAGTAAAAAATTGCCTTAACAAATAGAAATTCGTGGTATCAGTAAATAACTTAAATTTTTTTACCACCCAATAAGACTAAAAACAATGAAATTGTGTAGTTAAAATTGTAGATCACATGTGCTTTATTTATTTTATTTTTTTTTTGGGGGGGGGGAGATGAGTCATACTATTTAATGTCATTTGACTTTTTAAATATGATGATAAATATGGACATAGATAAACATTAATTCAATTCAAATCAAATCCAATTACATCAGGTAAGTTCTGATGCAATCAAGTATCATGTACAGGTAATACAAATGTATGTAGGTAATGCAAGTTTGTATAGGTAATGCAAAAATCATTAACATAATGCAATATGCTACATTGTTTTAACCTTAATCCCATTGGGGGGGGGGCCTTTTAGGCCCCTCTCCTGTCGTTTCTTTTGCCGTGCATCTAGACCGATTAAAATTTCACGTTGAAACTTCATGACTTTTTTCTCTCAAGTTTCCCGCATATTTTGATATAAAATTCACCCGGTCGGACATGTAGAACTGATTTTAGAGGTCGATAATCGCTTGACCGTCACAAAAAACTGCAGATTTTGTACACGTTTCTATGTGATTCATACATCCAATGCCATGTAAACTCCAGATCTGTTATAATTGTTACATTGAATTATAATCAGGTGGGCTGTATCTAATACAGACCACCTTATAATTTTGTTAAAATTGCCTTTATTATCAGGTGGGCTGTATCTAATACAGACCACCTTATATTTTTGTAAAAATTGCCTTTATTATTATTTATTTATTTATCAGGTGGGCTGTATCTAATACAGACCACATTATATTTTTGTTAAAATCGCCTTTATTTATTTATTTTTCTTAGTTCGACCCACTTTTTGTTAGCAAGATAACTTTAAAATGATTCAATCAAATGCTTTGAAATTTGGCACACATATGTATATGCATATGGACAAAACACGGTGAGGTTTTCAACCTTGACCTTGACTGATGACGTCATCTAGGCGCCATTTTGTGAAATTTTCTGAAAATCAACTCATGATCATATCTTCATAACCAAAAGGTATTTCTCATTCATATTTATCATGATCAAGGTCAATATCAGGTCAAAAAACGTGCGCGTACGTCCGTGCGTCATTGCGCGCGCAAAATTTTTAAATGCTCAAAATCGTCTCAAATTTATTTAGTTTCAGGTCATTTTAAGCATTTTATAAAAAATCGCGCATGCGCGCTCGTTTTCGCGCGTAACACCATAACAAAACATAGAATCACCATTTTTTTTCTTTCATGATATTTCTCATATTTCTTCGAGGAATTTGATACCATGTTTATCTCTTTATGACCATTAATAACAAGATGAGCATCAATTCAAGATAAATGTCCGTGCGCGCGAGCTCTTTTAATACATAACATATATTAGTACAGCCTGTAATGTCACAATATTGAATCCCGTGAGATAATTGTGCCAAAATTGATTTTTTTTTTTTTCAAATCAAGATAAATGTCCGTGCGCGCGAGCTCTTTTAATACATAACATATATTAGTACAGCCTGTAATGTCACAATATTGAATCCCGTGAGATAATTGTGCCAAAATTGATTTTTTTTTTTGGCTAACTTTGTCAATTTGGGGGTGCTGAATCCAAAAAACTTTGGTACCATTTTTTTCGACCACGTCTTAGGCGGCCATTTTGAATTTCAAAATGGCCACCATAAAAAATGCATTTTTTTTCATTATTATTTTATATTATAGACATTGGAGAAGGTGCAAATGTGGGATAAAATGTATGCTTATGATGTCTGATATATCAATACACATTTTTATAAAATTTTGCTTTATTTCGATTGGCCGCCATCTTGAAATTCAAAATGGCCGCCATTGCTAATCCTATTTTATCTCATGTCTCAAGTTATAAGCACCTGGAAAGGTTTGTACCGTAACAGTATCATAATATTGATGCTATGTGTGTTTTCAAACAAAACACAAGCTCCCAGTAACTGACCATTCGAATTGGCCACCATTTTGAAATTCAAAATGGCCGCCATGGAATAACATTTGTTATATTAATTCATTTGAAAGTACCTTAGAATCATCCATTTTGAGAGATCATCTGTATTTAAAGCTTGCAGGACCTGGTACATAGAATACCGGCTGTCATCTTGATCATCGTACATATGCCTAAACGCATCACCCCCCCCCCCCTTCTTCCACCCGGGGGGGGGGGGGGGGCTTAATTATAACATATAACAGTTACTGAATGTGGTGTTAAAGAAAAACTAGAAAAATAAATGCCTTGGACTGGACGTATTAAAACTTCAGTGTGCAAATACAGGCCTGTTATTCCAGAGATAAGACATGATGAGACACGCATCACATCAGAATGCAGTATCACGTGTCTATGCAGATTGCCAGCATACATCTTTGATATGACATGTGCTCCCCATGTGCTCTCACCCACGTGGATGTATGTGTATAGATACACTATGTAAGTCTGTGTCCCATACAGATTACACACAACTGACAGATTGTTTTACTGTCCCACTAAACCTATTTACTTGTGTAAAGACTCAAGACCTCTACAATGTTCTTCTATGCATTCTGATTTTGTCAGAGCAGCTGTCACCATACCACATGATTTGAGAGGTAGGCCTTTTAAACTATTAAATTTGCCTACAATGTACATTTACCTTTGTTGATAAACAGATGTCAGTTGCTGTTGTTTTATAAGAATGTTTAAATAGACATTTGAATATGTGTAATGTGAAGTATTCTCTTTGCTCAAAGTCAATGATGTTACCATCTCGCACATACGTACTGTACAGTAGCTATTTGTATCTGTGTTATTTCCTATGAGTGCTGGGTGTTGAACAGTTTATCAAAGTTATTATAATTAACCCAAAATGATCGGAATAGGCTCCAAGGGAAGCAAATTTATCAATGATGTATTTGTGATCCCTAGAATAACAGTGTTTATCAATATGGAATCTAGGGGAAAATTTTTATGCCAACATGTACATCTTAATTCACTACAAACTAGTAACAGATTAGTGAATCTGTAACCAATTGATGCATAATCTTTGCTGTTTTTCCCCTTCACTCCCTTCAGGGTCTGATTCAGATCTTAAAGATGAAGTTGAGTTCTGGTATGCGGTTGCATTGTGAAAGAAACGGTGTGGAACCGACCAGAAAAGGTTGATCATCTAGCATATAAGAATTTGTGTGTATTGCAAGGTTCTGGAATCATCAAAATGATAAGAAATGTGGCCAAGTCTTGGTAAAGTTACAAACACTTGCACAGAAAGATGTATATGGGACTACACGAACACGTGGCGTAAAAAGCCGACCCCCCGATTTTTACGATGCTACATGCATATTTAGAATATGAAGGCATTTGAAGAGCCA